TATCATTTGACTAATTGTGTCATATATGACAATCATTGGCAATGGCATGTGTAGACTAAAGAACTAATATAGTGTATTGATTATGTATGTGACTAATCAAGAAAATTCGCACTGGTAAAACACCATCTCGAGCGGAATTGTTCATTGAAACTCGCAAGAAAAGTAATGGAACTTTTGTATCTGATGAAGCTAAAAAGCGTGCGGTTAGTTCTTTTATTTTTGTTCATTCTTTAGCTCTTCATTTAAGAAAAGATGAATCACATGTGATATTTACTTTTTGAAATGGATTTTACTATAATATACATGATTCTTATACTGTTCTTGTATTTTTAAGAATGAGCTTACACTTTTGTTGGCCCAAAATCCACCGACGCAAGTGTCAGGAAATGTCACAACTTGTTTGGGTGATGAATATTCTCGGGTATTTGGGCCAGAGCGTCTTGGAAGAGTGTGTTGTGTTGGTTGTGGACCGACGCCTTCGAAATTAGTGAAACGTTCTGTTGCAATAAGATCTGAGGCTGCARATGCTGAAGTTGCTGAGATGAGAACAAAGATAACGACATTGTCTGATCAAGTCGAAAGTTTGACARGAATTATACAGAAGCTGCTTCCTACTAATGTTGGTGATCGGGTAAGATTATGATAGTTATATTTCAGAGATTATATGCCACTAATATATTTTAAAATTAAGATTCAAACTAATTATTTTAAAAAATGTTATATGTGTCTCAATGGGCAGCTTATGCAAATCTGCTGAGCACGCAAAACTTCTCTTTATCGCAAGAYTTTTCCTTGTCAGGTATGTATCATTTTAACTTGAATTTGTAGAGAACTCAKGTATTAAGGTGATACTTATTTTTGTTTCTTGTTATTTTGTTTTACAGGAAGTCACTGAAGAATAGGGACAACATTTGGTTTGGTTTGGATTACCACGAAGTTAGTGAAGACAGGAAGTCAGTGAAGATTAGGAACGTCATGAGTCATGATCATTTGATTTTAGTTTTAGTTTTTAATTAGGATTTATGTTTCATTTTCAGTTGGGATTTTTATTTATCGTATCATTTGGTTTGGCTTTTTATTCATGTTGAACTATGTGTTTTGTTGGATTATGCGTTTTGGTAATTTAAGATAATTATTTTGATTTTTTTAAAATTATATAATGATTATATTTGAATTTAATTATTTGTTTATATTTATAATTTAACTAAAATAAAACGAAATTTTTTAACGTCATTTGTAATTGATGTGAAATACTCATCGGTTGCAAATCTAAAATGATGCAAAAYGAATGATTAATATCATTTGTAAATTTGACACATTTATTAACATCAAATAACKGARTGTTACTAATATTATCATCATTTATTGATAAATGATATAACTCTTCCAATCATTTATGAAAATTKAAACGAATTCTAGAATCACTTATTTATAAGTGATGTAACTACAAAATCAACTAAATAAATKATATAAATATTTAACATCATTTGCTATAACCGAAAAAAATATTWAACATCACTTGCTATAAYCGAAACAAATATTTAAGATCATTTATACAATTGATGTAAAKATTAGCTTCATTTATTATAAGTGACACATAYTGACATCAATTATAACAAATGATGAAAATATTTGTGTCGGTCTTTTTTATTGATACATAATATTAGAGTCACCATTTTTAGAATCATTCACGAAAATAATATAGTTTTAGTTGTATCAATCAAAAAGTGATGTAAACTAACAAAATAAATGACATAAACCACCTTTTTTTTTTGTAGTGATAGCCTTTTAAACAACAAAAGAAACTGTTTAAATTTTGATTCTAATACGTCACATTGAAATGAGATTTTGTAATATGTTGCAGACAACCATCTCTTAGATTAAAATTTGAAATGAAAAGAACATATTGTAATCGCATATAATGAATATCATAGTGGGTACTTCAAGTGTAGGCTCTCATCCGAATAATCCTCCAAATCCTTAAATTTGTTCTTTATACTTTTTCTTTAATCGTACGGTAATATGCATAAATTTTTAGTAGATTATTATCTTTAATTACTTTAGATTAAACAAACTTGACCGTGAAACATAAAAAAAAAAGCTCTTTAACAACAAAAAAAGGCTTTCGTGACACAAGTAAACAAATTAAAACTTTTCAACGATTTCTTTAATCTTCACACTTCACACACCTCACCTTTATTCAAAAATTTATGGAGTTAATTATGTAAAACATTTGTGGAAGTAAGACTATATATTACTTCTTGTCGAACACCAACTCAATGTTATCTGTTGTTACCACAAAACAAAAATACATCATTAATTCATAATGACAACAAAATGACATTATCCTACATATAAAATATGTTTTACATTTTTATGTCGTTCTATACCCATTAGAGAACAGAATCTTCAAAACAAAATGCCTAGAAACAAAATATATATGGGGGTAATTATTTTTGGAATCTTTAGTTTTGTACTCTGAATTCTGTGAAGGTAGTATATATGTCTACGAGCTTACTGTTATTAATTATAATAACCGTATGATTGTGTGATGATGACATTACATGGATCAAAGCTTTCTAAACGGGTTCATCATTTGTCCCAATATATCAGGATTTTATATAGTACTATTTGACAATTAATAAAGTAGTAGTAGTCTAGAAACGAAAAAAAAAATGTTATATGGGATTTCTGAACTATTGCGTGGCTCAAAGTTAATTTTCACGTCTCGGGTTTGATGCTAATT